TTCTAATGACAAGAGTGTTTGAAGAAGACATTCCGAGGTCTGTCAAATGTCTTAGATGTTAGCGATATATTGGATAAATATAACACGTTGCGGACCTTTTTAAGTTCTCTCAGAATATTTTAGTTCCCTATAGCCAGTTGTCATTCAATGTTCTCTTTGATCAATCAAGTTTTCCAGAATCGTGGTGTATGGTCATTGTTGTATCTGCACAGGTGAAAGGTGACACAATTTGGGCCAACAATTACAGAAGTATATCAATATGAAGTTATTGAAGCAAATTGTGTTTTCATATCTGAATAAGAGAGAAACAGTTTCGTGAAAAACCTGAAAAACAAGTTGAATCTCAAGTGGGTTTTCGCAAAGGTTACAGTACTTTTGATAACACTTGTATCCTACAGTCTGTTATCTTTTAAAAGTAGAGATGTAAATTATATGCATGTTTCATGGAATTTTCAAAGTTGAGGCATAATTAAAAAAGGCTAAGAGGAGTCAGTAGTAAGATAAGTGTTAAGGTATGTGACAAACTAATAACAATTTTTCGAAATGTTTTGATTGTTTCATGGGATTTTAAATAATTCAAGAATTCGGATTAAAAGTGGAAGTTTATATGACGTATATGTAATAGCCTGAAGGCATGAAAGAGAATCTTAAAAAATATTGAATTGTTTATATTTAGATGGGTTATTGATATATTTAAGTGCTGTTAAAATAGCGGTTGTTTCTGCTGTGAATATGGAGTGAGTGAGTATAGTTTTACGCCGTTTTTAGCAAAATCACGGCGGGGGACACCAGAAATGGGCTTCACACTTTGTACCCATGTGGGGAATAGAACCCGCGTCTTCTTTTGTTCTAGATCAAATGACAGTGACACTAGCAACTGCGCCACCATTTTTGAATCCATCTGTAAATAATGGATTTATAAATGTCATAAGTGTTTCTTAATTGGTTGTATTCTTATTTATAAATAAGTGGGTTTGTCTCTGATTTCTTGAGTTTAGTAAATGTCAGGTCGACATTTGGCTTTTCCATTTGCCAAGGAGATGATGACAAAAGTTGAATGGGAGCTATATCTTGAAGGTTACTTTTAGCAGCTGAAATGACAGATTTGATTCTTATTTCAAGTTGTGGAATAAGAGTAGATTTCTTATTGTAAACATTATCGTAGAGAGGACTGAATATGCATTCAAAAGATGGATCTGACTGATTAGAATATAATTTTGTGAAGTATTGTAAGGATAATTTCAGACGGAGTTGTTTAAATGATGGCTCATCTGCTTCCACATATAGACTAGAAGTTCTAAAGGCTCCGAGGCAAAGCCTCAGGCCATGATGGTGGATAGTATCTAGTTTTTGTAAAATGTTTTACATGGTCCACCATAGCCGATGGAGCCGTAATCAAGTTTGGAACGGATCAGTGACCTGTACAAGTGTAAGAGGGCTGTCTGACCCCTCCCCACTTTGAATTAGAAACTTCTTTCAACAAATCCAGTGCCTTCAGACATTAAGCTTTGAGGTATTTAATATGCGTTTGGAAAGTTAGATAGTTATCGAAAGTAAACTTGGCCTCCTTTACCACTTTGACAGGGGTGCAATTTAACGACTGTTTGGGGCAAAAAGAGGTCGAAAGTCAAATTCTAAACATGTTTTGCGGTCCGGGGTAGTCACTATTACATCAGCAAAATCTCAGCGATATAGCGAATTTTCAAAATTAAAAGTGACAAAAAAATTCCAATGTTCATTAGAAATATCTGCTAAAACTAGAGTCAATTGAATGATCCGACAGATATGACAGATTCATGTTGAGATCGAGTATGTTGTATAATATTTGTTTTGACAAAATGGCGGCATGTACCTCTTAATATTGATAGGGTTAATGTTATATTCCATACTGTTTGTGAAACCAGCAACAGCATATGGAAATGAATATTCTTACTTGGGTGGGGGATGGGACTGGTGGGGCTGTTCCAGATTCTGATCATCGAGTATCTTTCGCAACAAACACTAGAGGGTGTCCCAAATCTGGCGAGTCCTGGTTCAAAAGACAGCCAGTGAGGAGAAACAAACTTGGAGCACTAATGAAAAATATGGCTTCCAAAGACAACCTTTCATCAGACAAACACATTATTAATTACAGCGCCGGGAAACAAATGATGCAAATCACTGTTCAGCGTTCCATCCCACAAAATTATGCAAATGTCCGGGCACAACAATATACATTCTATAAATACAAATTCACGAATCACTGAAGATCAACACTGTGGTATCTCCAACATTGTATCAAATACCACACTGACCCCGTCAAGCCACTTTCGGATTTAGCTAGGCCTATGTCAATCAGTGGCATCCCAATCGTTGAAAGATCTTCCAATTCGCATGTTGTTCGTGTCTCCGCCTCGGGACAAAAACACAATGTTGTGATTTCTTCACACTCGCAGCACGCAACTACTGATATGATCCACTGCCTGTTTCCTGGTCCGATCTACGGCGGCGTATTCAACGTAAATACTTGCAAGCCTGCTGAGTCAGACGTTGGATCCACTTCCCCCAAACGTCGTCGCATTGTCGACATAGCTTTGACTCAGAATGAACTCAACGTTCTTGGTTAATGCACATTCACGTTTAACTTTCGTGAAAATGCTGCATTAACACTCTGGGCTAGATCTATCATTGTAAGATTAAATTATCCTTACTTGTTGTAGAATCAATTACACAGTTTTGTGATTAATATGTGAAGACCGACAAAAGTTTTCGTTTTCCTTTTGTAGTCATGAGAACTATTGACATTGAGGCGACTGACGGACAAGTCGACCGAAAGAAACAGGCGAACGGTTTCAATTTTTTTTTATTAACAATAATACCATTTTTATTTCATTGTTGTACTATTATAGGTGAATCAAAATGTATATTTGTCGCCATAATTCATTATGTTGCTTAAATTGTCGAAGAGTTAATGCCGCTGAAAGGAACTATTCCGTATTCATGGAATCTTAGTGTGTGTGTGATCAGTAAAATTCCGAGAATTCGATGCCGTATCAACACGCGTATGAACATTAAGAAATGCGACTTCGCGCCTGGTATTGTGGTGACGGACTAAGGATCATAATCAGGGCAAATCTTGGAACAGAACCCACAAACAACCGATCTTGGCACTACCGTGGTACACATCTCTGCACAACGTAGCAAAATAATGTGTCACCCATGTCGGATAATAAATACTTTTCAGTAACAACATCTGGCAAATAAAATCATCTTCTTTCATTGCAAACATTAGAGCTCTGTGAGTTGACATAACGCCAGCATTAACGATCTGATTAATGCAAACGTGTACATCAAGAGCTTTACAAAGAGACTGAAAGACTAGAAGTATCCTACACATTAAGCAGTGGCTAATGGATGCGTGGTACAATATTTGTGTTGGAATGTCAGGCTGTGACATACACATGGATGGGGACAAATGAACCTTTGTCAGTAAAATTTGTTCTTTCCTCAAACACTATACACAGGTGTCTCATCCTCAACAGAAAAGGTTAAGTCACATCGAAGTCAGTCATCGCTGATTATAAGATCAGTGCATGTTGCCAATCGCTTGAAAAACAACCGGTCCACACATACATATCACAAATTCCACTTTGAGTTTTAAAACGATATGTAATGTCTATATAACACTGGTACATGTGTTTATAAAGATGTTTAATCACAGGAAGAAAAAAATAACCTCAAGCAAGTGGGTGTGGAATCAGCTAAATATGGGCGTTTACTTGACTGTTTTATTTGTTTGAAATATTAATGCAGTAAACAATTTCTTTACAAATATTTCATACATTTCAAGTCATCTTACAATACTTTACCAATGAACCACAGCATTGTGGTACTATTTTAATTTAAAATGACAATATAAGCAATAAAGTGTCTAATTTCTTCATAATCAACATGTCCATACCGGTTTTACTTCACTGAGTGGTTACTAACAGAAATTAAGAAATGTTCAAGCGCCACCTGATGCATTTAAAATGTAAACAACGTTATATTATTTTGTGCTTTTAATTGTATCCTTTGCCGTAGATTATTGTTTTGCGACCGTGAATGTTTTATTAATAGCTATACATTGGAACTTAAAACTATCATAGATACAATGGGGAGTGTTTGTATATTTTCATAGGGGTTTGCACAGCATTTCAAGCAGTTCCTGATCTCTGTTGCATACTATATATGTAATCTTATTTTCACAATCGTATTTCGAATATTTGGATAATGTTATTGCTGGATTTAGCCACTACTGGAGAAAGGTAGAACGAATTAGATTTACAACAATGTGTGTTTCAATATTTGTGTTTCTTTGTATGTCATTTTATCATATACTGACCCGCTTTGATGACGCACCAAAATGAGTCCATGAAAATATCATGATAGTTGGAAAACAACAACTAAAATACCCCATGGTTAGGACTTAAGGAAGCTCCAAAATTGTTGCCGTTGTGAGTCGTCACCAAAGCGCAAAAGAGAACAGTACTCAAAAACACGTAACCACGAAAAATGCAAAGTAGCATTTCTTTTTCGTGCAGAAATGGGGTATAAAGGGAGGGCAATCAAAGGCAACCCGTTTCATCGCTGTAGCCGCGTAATAGCAATGAGGACGCAATGCCGAGACTGACACTTGGGGAACGGGAACGTTCCGTCATCCTTTCGTAAGCTCGGTTCTGGCCCTAAGGCACCGAAATGCACGTCTGCAATGCTCAGACAATGGTTCTCGTCTCTAAAGAATCCAGATTTCTCCTCAGGAAAGCTGACGGATGTATTCATTATAACGATGATTGTGTTGTGCAACTGATCGATGGGGCGGTGGAAGTGTGATGGTTTGGGGCTATATCAGTTTTCGGCACAGATCACAGCTCGATGTATGCATGGGTCGTGTTAATGCAGTTTACTACAGGGACGCCATTTTAAAACGCCACGTTGTCCTCTGTTTCCGTCAAATCCAAGAGCTGCATACTTTCCAATAGGACGCCGGAGCACACACAGCAAGTGCTTCTGTGGACTTCCTGGCACAGAGTAACGTACCTGTTGTGCCATGGCCTGCATTATCTCCCGATATATCGCCCACCGAGCACTTGTGGGACTATATGGGACAGCGCATTGCACGTCGACCTAAAATTGCCAACGTTGGTGAGCTCGCACTTGTCCTGCAACGTGAGTGGCGTAGGATACCACAAGTTGATATGAGAAGGTGTTGGGTGGCATGCATTGCGGCCAGGGGCGGTCATACCCGGTACTGACTTTGCCTTTGGACCCCTTGTGTGTTCCATTTTCTCTGCATTAAAAGTGTGTACTTTCCAAAGACACTTGTCTTTACTATATGGAACTAAGTTATCTGTTTGTCATTGTAGTACACAACCAACACCATAAAAATTGGTATAGCGTCAATTTCACTATTTACCCCTGTTGCGTTTTCAATGCGTTTCAGTATATGTATTGGTTTGTCAGTTTTTAATCAGATATAATAACCCTCAAAGCACCGGAAGTAGTCAAGATTTTGAGTCACGTGACCTATCAGTAGAAATGGATTATTACTTTTGGATTATACCTTGGCTATTGCATTTTTATGCTCAATCATTCCTAAATTGTGTGTTTCAACTGTTATTTTCCCTGGCACTTACTTGGAATTCCATGTGTTTTACTCTCTGTTTATCATGATGCAACTTCCAACTGACACCACTGGAGATTTGTCAAGAAGGGTATGAAGATATTGGAATTATGACACCTCTAAAACTAACGATTTTTTAAGTGGACAATATCAAGAGTACTTTTGTACCATATACGCTTGCGTATACATTAATATCATGTAGAACTTATAAAGCTCATAGAATTATGCATCTTGTGAATGTATGTGCATTTATGCCATCCAAAAAGCCAGAGAAAAAATACAACAAAATTTGAACAATGGTATTCCACCTGGGAAGAAATGTAAGATATCTTGTAATTATGGTAGCTCATGTAGTCCCTGTCATGTATGCATACACTTGGGACAATTTATCAAAGATGGTCCTTATCATGAAATATATAGAGGTTATCTCGCGAGTGTTTGGGGGGATAAACACGGCATCAGAAAAGAGTCAACCACAAAATGATTTTTTAAACAAAATTATGCACATTAAAACATGCACATTAAAACAACAAGGTAAATTTAATTTGGACATTTTTGTTTTACGACGTGAATGTGTCAGTGTGGTCCTTACGCTGTTTTTCAGTTATAACCAGGTGCCAGTTAAATTTGTGAAATGTCGCAGACAGCCTCTTACACGCATTGGTATGGTACGGACGGACAAAGGATCATAATAAGGGCAAATATTGGAATAGAACCGACAAACAGCTGGCCCTGGCACTGCTTAGTGACACATGTCTCCATTGCGCATCAGACTACTCTGTCACCCATGCCGAGTAAATCGACTTTCGACTTTTCAATAACATCTGACAAATAAAATCATCTTCCTCCATTGTGAGCGTTAAAGTACTGAGAGTTGTCATTACGATATCATTTATCTGATTAATGCAAACGGGTATATAAAGTGCTTCACAATGAGACTGAAAGACTAAAAAGATCTTTCACATTAAGCAGCGGCTAATTGATGTATGGTAGAGATCCGTGTATTAATAACGTTAATATCTGGAAATGGCGCACACTTTTGTGGGGACAAATGGACATTTGTCAACAAAACGACAAAATACACAGGTTCTTCAAAGCGTGCTCCGGGATCACATGTGTGCTGATAAAAAGGTTGGGGAAAAGTAGAACCGTTAGTTACTATAATGGTAGAAGAATTGGACATTTCGATGTACCATTAAAGCCAGACTATTAAAATATGTTTGATAAATTGATTATTCCATAGGGGTCCCGGTTAAGAAACGGTCCACAGTAACCAATAACGGTCGTAAAAGGCAATAGCATGAGGTCATCATACTCGGTGATTTGTTTGTGTGTCATCGTACCATGATGACGTTGCTCACCGATGACTTCTTTCGATTATTTGCAGGTCGCCGTCATAAAGCATTTTTCGGCGTTAACCAATGACAAAGTGAGCAAATGTCCTGTCAGGGGCTGTGGACAGCTGTTGATAACTGCCTCCAAGGTGTACCTACCTAATCAATAGACTCGGTCACACAAAAGTCAATAATCGCTAATGGCTTTGCTTTATTTTACTATATTCTTAAATTGCTTTTATTGCACGCATTTATTGATTTCTTCTCTGTTCCATTGCATGCCTTTGTTTGGTAACAGTTTGAGTTGTTAGGGACGTACTATTTGGTCACCTTTTCTACTCTATCTAAACCTGATTGGATTTTCACTCAATATATCACCGACGTATGTTGTCAATTGCTAACCAAACAACTGTTCCACAGATAAATATCACAAACCCGACTTTGAGTTTAAAACGATGTTTCTAATATACAAAACACTGGTCCATGGATGAACACGCGATTTCTGACACTGCATCGACGCATGTGAAAGCGATGACTGCTGAGACGACTTACCGTGGACATTTCTTTCTCACATTATTCTTTACCTTCCTTACACTGGTAAATTGCAACAAGATTCAGGAACAGAAGAGACTTTTACAGCATGTATTAAGTGATTACAATCGACATGTGTTTCCTCGTGAAACTGAAGAAGTAATGGACATCAATATTCAATTTAATTTGTTCGATTTAGCGGAAATGAACGAGTTGCAGCAGTCAATGACCACCAATGGATTTTTTAACTTCCAGTGGGTTGATGATTCACTGAAGTGGAACATTTCTGACTTTGATGGACAAGAAAATCTGTGTATATCTAGTGATAGTGTGTGGATTCCTGACTTAACAGTTATCAACACGGTTACCGAAAGAAAGATGTTTGAGGAGAAAACTGCCCTTGCATGCATACATAACACAGGATTAGTAAGCTGGGGTCATGGAGATCTTTACAAGACTCGATGTGACTTTGATATTCTCTATTTTCCGTTTGATACTCAGGTCTGTTCCATATTACTCACCAGCTGGCGGACACTGTCGGATAAAGCAAGATTGACACCTTTAGTAAACAAGTCGTTAACTAGCCGACCAACAGATGGAAATCCATTGTGGATAATAAAAGATCTTTCAGGGGAAATTCAGACGGCGGGATATCCTAAGTTTCTCGTTACCATCACCTTAAAGCGCCGACCAGCATACTATGTCTACAACCTGATAATCCCTATCATGCTCCTATCCCTTCTCAGCTCCCTGGTTTTTGCTCTGCCGTTAGAATACGGAGACAAAGTGGCGCTCTCCATGACAGTTCTACTCTCTTTCACTGTGTTCCTGGCTCAGATGACCGACAACATGCCAAGAACATCCCTACAGACGTCCTATCTCACCATCTACCTCACCATTCTTCTCACTCTCAGCTCACTCTCTGTGGCCATGTCAATCCTCATCCTTAGGGTGCATCGGAAGACAGGTAAAGTACCTGTTATAATGCAGAGATTTGTCACCTTGTTGAGATGGTGTTCTCCACAGAAGCCAAACATGAAGGTAGATACGTCAGATACAATGGAGCGTCCTGGGGATAACGACAGAGAGGAGAAATCTGTTGTCAGCGTGGCCTGGAAGGATGTTTCTGATGTGCTTGATGTCCTCTGTCTAAGACTCTTCATGTTCCTCAATGTCGGTTGTGGCATTACTCTCTTTATCCTACTCATCTAACAGTATGAGGTATTCAAATTTCACATAATTCTTAATTAATAAGACACTTTTCATTTTCCAAATGAAAGTCAACTCACATTACAATCATCACAAGTACAATATTTATCGACTGGAAAAGCTTCACCCATAGCTGCTATGCGTGAATGTTAAACATGTACAATAAAATACAAAAGTAAAATATTTGTGTTTGACATTTTCCGAAATGTGTTCATGTTCTGAAATTGCATACTGACGTCTTGCATCCTTTGCCCTAAAGCCACATTATTGTAGCACTATTTTAATTTATCACGGCAATATTAGACAGGATGTGCGCAATTTATTCATAACTAACATCTCCATACTTGCTGTTTTACTTCAATGCCAAATGAGTAACTTCACAAAATAACAAATGTTTAAGTGCCACCTGATTAATTCAAAATGTAAACAAAGTTATGGTATTTTCTGCTTTTAATTGTATCCATAGATTATTGCCTCGCTACCGTGCATGTTTTATTAAAAGTTATCGATTGGACGTTTGAACTGTCATTGATAAAGAATGCAGCGATAGGGTTTTGCGTAGCATCCATGCCTGTTCCTAATCTCTCTCTCCTCGTCTCGTAGGGGCGGTCACGCCGAAGACCCGGGTTCGATTCCCGACATGGGTACAATGTGTGAAGCCCATTTCTGGTATCCCCCGCCGTGATATTGATGGAATATTGCTAAAAGCGGCGTAAAACCATACTCACTTCACTTCCTCGTCTCGTATTTCAATTTTTTAAATAATGTTATTGTTGTACTTGATATTATATATTTTCCAGCCACTTCTCGAGGTAGAATGTTATTCCGCAAGATCACAAATAATGTTTATAACAATGTGTGTTACAATACGTGCGTGTTTCTTTGTATGTCATTTAATCATGTTATAGCACTAATAAACATAGAAATGTCTATGTATTCCCGTGGTTAGCATACAGTACATTTGTACCCTGCATGAACCCAGAAGGATTTTCATCATCCCTTCGAGTGTTGGCAATCATTGACAAATTTAGAATTAAATGAGAACTGATATTGTTAAAAAATAATCTTAAGGGGTGAAATGTTGAAATAGTTGTCCCCTGTGATGGAAATATCAACATTCAAGCAAGACATGCTTGACTGTGATTCTGTCACCACAAGGGACACAAAATGGGGGTTCATCTCCTTTCAATACTCATGTGTATATACTCATGTGTATATCGTGAAAGACCAATACGACATGGCCATAATATGACCTCTTCAAATCTGGACTGACAACCCAAGTAGGTGTAACAGCTTTTTGGTTTTATTGCATGTTTGAGTGACTGTGACACCGGCTATTAAGTGCGTGTCAGCGCGAGCATTGGTATGCAGCTGACAAACCTAGAAACATAATCGGTGCGAACCGGGGTTTGAACCCACAATCCTAGGTTTCTGGCGTGCCCAAGGGACGCAACTCTGCACAGCGAATCACGGCGCTTTAGACGACTGGGCCAACCGTGCCCTCTTTATTGCATGTAATGTATTGATACCTACTTGGGTGTTCCACCTCCTTTGCATTTGATCTCTGATGTAAGATCTAATTACAGGTTTATAGTCACTGTATGGGAAAAGAAGTGGTGTAACATATTTGTTGAGAGCTGCGTTAGCTGCAGCATCAGCCATTGTGTTACCAACGATTCCAACATGGCTTGCTAACCAAAAAAGGACGATGTTGTATTGGCCAGTAGCAAGAATATTATGTAATTCAGTTATTTAATTCAAGTAAAACTAGATGCTGACACAAATTATTTTGTATTTCCTGAAGACAGTAAAGGGAGTCTGAAAATTCTATTTAATTCCTAATGTTTTTTTACGTATATATTATAGAGTAGTTGAAATGGTGTTTGATTTGGGGGTAAAAATGGAGAATTATCTGGTAAACTAATTGATAAAGTCTGGTTCCAGTTTTTGTGGCACGACTGGCAACGGCGCCACCATTCTTGGATCCATAAATATAGATTTGTTAGTGTCATGTTCACTTCTTAATTGATTATATTCTTGTTGATAATGTAGTTGATTTGTTTCGAATTCCTAAGTTTAGATAAGGTACGATCTACCAGTGGCTTTACAAATTGCCAAAGAGGAGAAGAAAGCGGGCGGAAGGAGATATATTTTCGAGTTCAATATTTGCAGCCGAAATGAAAGGTTTAATTCTGATTCCTAGGCGTGGAATACGTTTCCTCCTGAAAAGATCCTCATTTAAATTAGAATTAGGTTTAAAAATGCAGTTGTTAGCTGGATTTGACTCATTTGAATACAATTTGGTTATGTATTGTAAAGATCATTTTTTTCGGCGTTGTGTAAATGAAGGTTCATCAGCCACCGCCTCCTGGGCAATTGCTTTAGGCAAGTATCTTAAAAAACTTATGAACAGAACACCATTCACAAAGTAGGTGGAACCAGTATTTAAAAAATAATCAACAGTGCTTGACATGATCAAGCAATTGATAGAACCGGGCCCATTCTACCACCCGTCTAGGTGAAGTCAGGGTCGAAGGGGTGTGTTAGGCAAAAAGGAATACTGTTCCTGGCTCCATTGCCCTCAACCACCAGAATCCCTTCCAACACCGACACGAGCACAACCCACGGCAACAGGTGGGCGACTTCGGCAGCCTTTTACGTTAAGAATTTCAACATAGATAAAGTAGGCAGTGCTTATTATTTTGATAGGGATTTGCGTAGCATTCATAATATGTTATATACTATAGTTTCATCATAACTATAACAATCGCATTCCAAATTTGTGGATGATGTTATTGCAGTACTTAATATTCTACATTTTGCTGCCATGAATGTTGAAAGGTAGATTGTATATTCTCATGATAACATTATATTCAAGACATTGTGTGTTACAATATTTGAGTGTTTGTTTGTATGTCTTTTAATCATAGCACTATCAAACATAGAAAATATGCATTTATTCCACTGCTTTATACAGATAACATAGACACATGTACACATGCACTAATGCCAAAGTAATTGAATGTGTTGACAAGAGGCAGTCAGTGAGGTTGAGTTGGTGTTAAAAGTTCCTAAAGATAACTGTTGCTTAACAAGTCATTGTATTTAGAAGCCAGGAGAGAGAAGTATCTGTATCACCTTCCCATCAGAGGGAGATATCAGTGTGTTGTCTTCATTGGTGACGCCTACTATTGAGAAGGGAAATGCGTCGCATTGTCGACATAGCTTGGACTCCGAATGAACTCAATGTTCTTGGTTAATGCACATTCACGTTTAACTTTCGTGAAAATGCTGCATTAACACTCTGGGCTAGATCTATCATTGTAAGATCAAATTATCCTTACTTGTTGTAGAATCAATTACACAGTTTCTTGATGAATATGCGAAGACCGACAAAAGTTTTCGTTTTCTTTTCGTAGTCATGAGAACTATTGACCTTGAGGCGACTGACGGCCAAGTCGACCGAAAGAAACAGGCGAACGGTTTCAATTTTGTATTAACAATAATACCATTTTTATTTCATTGTTGTACTATTATACGTGAATAAAAATGTATATTTGTCTCCATAATTCATTATGTTGCTTAAATTGTCGAAGAGTTAATGCCGCTGAAAGGAACTATTCCGTATTCATGGAATCTTAGTGTGTGTGTGATCAGTAAAATTCCGAGAATTCGATGCCGTATCAACACGCGTATGAACATTAAGAAATGCGACTTCGCGCCTGGTATTGTGGTGAAGGATTAAGGATCATAATCAGGGCAAATCTTGGAACAGAACCCACAAACAACCGACCTTGGCACTACCGTGGTACACATCTCTGTACAACGTAGCAGACTACTGTGTCACCCATGTCGGATAAAAACGATTTTGACTTTTCAGTAACAACATCTGGCAAATAAAATCATCTTCTTCATTGCAAACATTAAAGCTCTGTGAGTTGACATAACGCCAGCATTAACGATCTGATTAATGCAAACGTGTACATCAAGAGCTTTACAAAGAGACTGAAAGATTAGAAGTATCCTACACATTAAGCAGTGGCTAATGGATGCGTGGTACAATATTTGTGTTGGAATGTCAGGCTGTGACATACACATGGGTGGGGACAAATGAACCTTTGTCAGTAAAATTTGTTCTTTCCTCAAACACTATACACAGGTGCCTCATCCTTAACAGAAAAGGTTAAGTCACATCGAAGTCAGTCATCGCTGATTATAAGATCAGTGCATGTTGTCAATCGCTTGATAAACAACCGGTCCACACATACATATCACAAATTCCACTTTGAGTTTTAAAACGATATGTAATGTATATATAACACTGGTACATGTGTTTATAAAGATGTTTAATCACAGGAAGAAAAAAATAACCTCAAGCAAGTGGGTGTGGAATCAGCTAAATATGGGCGTTTACTTGACTGTTTTATTTTCGTTGAAATATTAATGCAGTAAACAATTTCTTTACAAATATTTCATACATTTCAAGTCATCTTACAATACTTTACCAATGAACCACAGCATTGTGGTACTATTTTAATTAAAAATGACAATATAAGCAATAAAGTGTCTAATTTCTTCATAATCAACATGTCTATACTGGTTTTACTTCACTGAGTGGTTACTAACAGAAATTAAGAAATGTTCAAGGGCCACCTGATGCATTTAAAATGTAAACAACGTTATATTATTTTGTGCTTTTAATGGTATCCTTTGCCGTAGATTATTGTTTTGCGACCGTGAATGTTTTATTAATAGCTATACATTGGAACTTAAAACTATCATAGATACAATGGGGAGTGTTTGTATATTTTCATAGGGGTTTGCACAGCATTTCAAGCAGTTCCTGATCTGAACAACAACTAAAATACCCCATGGTTAGGACTTAAGGAAGCTCCAAAATTGTTGCCGTTGTGAGTCGTCACCAAAGCGCAAAAGAGAACAGTACTCAAAAACACGTTTTTACACGTGCAAACCACGAAAAATGCAAAGTAGCATTTCCTTTTCGTGCAGAAATGGGGTAAAAAGGGAAGGCAATCAAAGGCAACCCGTTTCATCGCTGTAGCCGCGTAATAGCAATGAGGACGCAATGCCGACACTTGAGGAACGGGAACGTTCCGTCATCCTTTCGTAAGCTCGGTTCTGGCCCTAAGGCACCGAAATGCACGTCTGCAATGCTCAGACAATGGTTCTCGTCTCTGAAGAATCCAGATTTCTCCTCAGGAAAGCTGACGGATGTATTCATTATAACGATGATTGTGTTGTGCAGACTGATCGATGGGGCGGTGGAAGTGTGATGGTTTGGGGCTATATCAGTTTTCGGCACAGATCACAGCTCCATGTATGCATGGGTCGTGTTAATGCAGTTTACTACAGGGACGCCATTTTAAAAGCCACGTTGTCCTCTGTTTCCGTCCAATCCAAGAGCTGCATACTTTCCAATAGGACGCCGGAGCACACACAGCAAGTGCTTCTGTGGACTTCCTAGCACAGAGTAACGTACCTGTTGTGCCATGGCCTGCATTATCTCCCGATATATCGCCCGTCGAGCACTTGTGGGACTATATGGGACAGCGCATTGCACGTCGACCTAAAATTGCCAACGTTGGAGAGCTCGCACTTGTCCTGCAACGTGAGTGGCGTAGGATACCACAAGTTGATATGAGAAGGCGTTGGGTGGCATGCATTGCGGCCAGGGGCGGTCATACCCGGTACTGACTTTGCCTTTGGACCCCTTGTGTGTTCCATTTTCTCTGCATTAAAAGTGTGTACTTTCCAAAGACACTTGTCTTAACTATATGGAACTAAGTTATCTGTTTGTCATTATAGTACACAACCAACACCATAAAATTTGGTATAGCGTCAATTTCACTTTTTACCCCTGTTGCGTTTTCAATGCGTTTCAGTATATGTATTGGTTTGTAATTTTTTTTATCAGGAATAATAACCCTCAAAGCACCGGAAGTAGTCAAGATTTTGAGTCACGTGACCTATCAGTAGAAATGGATTATTACTTTTGGATTATACCTTGGCTATTGCATTTTTATGCTCAATCATTCCTAAATTGTGTGTTTCAACTGTTATTTTCCCTGGCACTAACTTGGAATTCCATGTGTTTTACTCTCTGTTTATCATGATGCAACTTCCAACTGACACCACTGGAGATTTGTCAAGAAAGGTATGAAGATATTGGAATTATGACACCTCTAAAACTAACGATTTTTTAAGTGGACAATATCAAGAGTACTTTTGTACCATATACGCTTGCGTAGACATTAATATCATGTAGAACTTATAAAGCTCATAGAATTATGCATCTTGTGAATGTATGTGCATTTATGCCATCCAAAAAGCCAGAGAAAAAATACAACAAAATTTGAACAATGGTATTCCACCTGGGAAGAAATGTAAGATATCTTGTAATTATGGTAGCTCATGTAGTCCCTGTCATGTATGCATACACTTGGGACAATTTATCAAAGATGGTCCTTATCATGAAATATATAGAGGTTATCTCGCGAGTGTTTGGGGGGATGGTAAATATCCTGCATTAGGAATAAACATTGTATTTAGCGAGCCTTGGCCACATAAACATGGCATCAGAAAAGAGTCAACCACAAAATGATTTTTTAAACAAATTATGCACATTAAAACATGCACATTAAAACAACAAGTTAAATTTAATTTGGACATTTTTGTTTTACGACGTGAATGTGTCAGTGTGGTCCTTACGCTGTGTTTCAGTTATAACCAGGTGCCAGTTAAATTTGTGAAATGTCGCAGACAGCCTCTTACACGCATTGGTATGGTACGGACGGACAAACTATCATAATAAGGGCAAATATTGGAATAGAACCGACAAACAGCTGGCCCTGGCACTGCTTAGTGACACATGTCTCCATTGCACATCAGACTACTCTGTCACTCATGCCGAGTAAATCGACTTTCGACTTTTCAATAACATCTGACAAATAAAATCATCTTCCTCCATTGTGAGCGTTAAAGTACTGAGAGTTGTCATTACGATATCATTTATCTGATTAATGCAAACGGGTATATAAAGTGCTTCACAATGAGACTGAAAGACTAGAAAGATCTTTCACATTAAGCAGCGGCTAATTGATGTATGGTAGAGATCCGTGTATTAATAACGTTAATATCTGGAAATGGCGCACACTTTTGTGGGGACAAATGGACATTTGTCAACAAAACGACAAAATACACAGGTTCTTCAAAGCGTGCTCCGGGATCACATGTGTGCTGATAAAAAGGTTGGGGAAAAATAGAACCATTAGTTACTATAATGGTAGAGGAATTGGACATTTCGATATACCATTAAAGCCAGACTATTAAAATATGTTTGATAAATTGATTATTCCATAGGGGTCCCGGTTAAATAACGGTCCACAGTAACCAATAACGGTCGTAAAAGGCAATAGCATGAGGTCATCATATTCGGTGATTTGTTTGTGTGTCATCGTACCATGATGACGTGGGTCGATGTTGCTCACCGATGACTTCTTTCGATTATTTGCAGGTCGCCGTCATAAAGCTGGATTTTTCGGCGTTAACCAATGACAAAGTGAGCAGATGTCCTGTCAGGGGCTGTGGACAGCTGTTGATAACTGCCTCCAAGGTGTACCTACCTAATCAATAGACTCGGTCACACAAAAGTCAATACCGCTAATGGCATTGCTTTATTTTACTATATTCTTAAATTGCTTTTATTGCACGCATTTATTGATTTCTTCTCTGTTCCATTGCATGCCTTTGTTTGGTAACAGTTTGCGTTGTTAGGGACGTACTATTTGGTCACCTTTTCTATTCTATCTAAACCTGATTGGATTTTCACTCTATATATCACCGATGTATGTTGTCAATTGCTAACCAAACAACTGTTCCACAGATAAATATCACAAAGCCGACTTTGAGTTTAAAACGATGTTTCTAATATACAAAACACTGGTCCATGGATGAACACGCGATTTCTGACACAAAGCGATGACTGCTAGCTGAGATGACTTACCGTGGACATTTCTTTCTCACATTATTCTTTACCTTCCTTACACTGATAAATTGCAACAAGATTCGGGAACAGAAGAGACTTTTACACCATGTATTAAGTGATTACAATCGACATGTGTTTCCTCGTGAAACAGAAGACGCAATGGACATCAATATTCAATTTCATTTGTTCGATTTAGCGGAAATGAACGAGTTGCAGCAGTCAATGACCACCAATGGATTTTTTAACTTCCAATGGGTTGATGATTCACTGAAGTGGAACATTTCTGACTTTGGTGGACAAGAAAATCTGTGTATATCTAGTGATAGTGTGTGGATTCCTGACTTAACAGTTATAGACACGGTTACCGAAAGAAAGATGTTTGAGGAGAAAACTACCCTTGCATGCATACATAACACAGGATTAGTAAGCTGGGGACATGGAGATCTTTACAAGACTCAGTGTGACTTTGATATTCTCTATTTTCCGTTTGATACTCAGGTCTGTTCCATATTACTCTCCACCTGGCAGACACCGTCGGATAAAGCACGATTTACACCTTTAGTAAACAAGTCGTTCACTAACCGATCAACAGATGGAAATCCATTGTGGATAATAAAAGATTTTTCAGGGGAAGTTCTGAGGGCTGAATATCCTATGTTTCGCGTTACCTTCACCTTAAAGCGCCGACCAGCATACTATGTCTTCAACCTAATAATCCCTATCATGCTCCTGTCCCTTCTCAGCTCCCTGGTGTTTGCTCTGCCTTTAGAATACGGAGACAAAGTGGCTCTCTCCATGACAGTTCTGCTCTCTTTCACTGTGTTCCTGACTCAGATGACCGACAACATGCCAAGAACATCCCTACAGACGTCCTATCTCACCATCTACCTCACCATTCTTCTCACTCTCAGCTCACTCTCTGTGGCCTTGTCAATCCTCATCCTTAGGGTGCATCGGAAGACAGGTAAAGTACCTGTAATAGTGCAGAGATGTGTCACCTTGTTGATATGTTGTTCTCCACAGAAGCCAAACATGAAGGTAGATACGTCAGATACAATGGAGCGTCCTGGGGATAACGACAGAGAGGAGAAACCTGTTGTCAGCGTGGCCTGGAAGGATGTTTCTGATGTACTTGATGCCCTCTGTCTGAGACTCTTCATGTTCCTCAATGTCGGTTGTGGCATTACTCTCTTTATCCTACTCATCTAACAGTATGAGGTATTCAAATTTCACATAATTCTTAATTAAAAAGACACTTTTCATTTTCGAAAAGGAAGTCAACTCACATTACAATCATCACAAGTACAATATTTATCGACTTGAAAAGCTCCACCCATAGCTGCTATGCGTGAATGATAAACAAGTACAATAAAATACAAAAGTAAAATATTTGTGTTTGCCATTTTCCGAAATGTGTTCATGTTCTGAAATTGCATACTGACGTCTTGCATCCTTTACCCTAAAGCAACATTATTGTAGCACTATTTTAATTTATCACGGCAATATTAGACAGGATGTGCGCAATTTATTCATAACTAACATCTCCATACTTGTTGTTTTACTTCAATGCCAAATGGTATTTTCTGCTTTTAATTGTATCCATAGATTATTGCCTCGCTACCGTGCATGTTTTATTAAAAGTTATCGATTGGACGTTTGAACTGTCATTCATAAAGAATGCAGCGATAGGGTTTTGCGTAGCATCCATGCCTGTTCCTAATCTCTCTCTCCTCGTCTCGTATTTCAATTTTTTAAATAATATTATTGCTCTACTTGATATTATATATTTTCCAGCCACTACTCGAGGTAGAATGTTATTCCGCAAGATCACAAATAATGTTTATAACAATGTGTGTTACAATACGTGTGTGTTTCTTTGTATGTCATTTAATCATGTTATAGCACTAATAAACATAGAAATGTCTATGTATTCCCGTGGTTAGCATACAGTACATTTGTACCCTGCATGGAACCCAGAAGGGTTTTCATCATCCCTTCGAGTGTTGGCAATCATTGACAAATTTAGAATTAAATGAGAACTGATATTGTTAAAAAAAAATCTTAAGGGGTGAAATGTTGAAATAGTTGTCCCCTGTGATGGAAATATAAACAGTCAAGCAAGACATGCTTGACTGTGATTCTGTCACCACAAGGGACACAAAATGGGGGTTCATCTCCTTTCAATACTCATGTGTATATCGTGAAAGGCCAATACGACATGGCCATAATAAGACCTCTTCAAATCTGGACTGACAACCCAAGTAGGTGTAACCGCTTTTTAGTTTTATTGCATGTTTGAGTGACTGTGACAGAGTTGGATTTAACACCGGTTATTAAGTTATATCGCGGCGTGTCAGCGCGAGCATTGGTATGCTGCTGACAAACCTAGAAACATAATCGGTGCGAACCGGGATTTGAACCCACAATCATAGGTTTCTGGCGTGCCCAAGGGACGCAACTCTGCACAGCGAATCCTGGGCAATTGCTATAGGCAAGTATCTTAAATAACTTATGAACAGAAGACCATTCAAAAAGTAGGTGGAACCAGTATTTAAAAATTCATAAACAGTGCTTGACATGATCAAGCAATTGATAGAACCGGGCCCATTTGACCACCCGTCTAGGTGAAGTCATGGTCGAAGGGGTGTGTTGGGCAAAAAGGAATACTGTTCCTGGCTCCATTGCCCTCAACCACCAGAATCCCTTCCAACACCGACACGGGCACAACCCACGGCAAACAGGTGGTCCACTTCGGCAACCTTTTACGTTAAGAGTTTCAACTGGCATAGATAAAATAGGCAGTGCATATATTTTGATAGGGATTTGCGTAGCATTCATAATATGTTATATACTATAGTTTCATCATAACTATAACAATCGCATTCAAAATTAGTGGATGATGTTATTGCAGTACTTAATATTCTACATTTTGCTGCCATGAATGTTGAAAGGTAGATTGTACATTCTCATGATAACATTATATTCAAGACATTGTGTGTTACAATATTTGAGTGTTTGTTTGTATGTCTTTTAATCATAGCACTATTAACCATAGAAAATATGCATTTATTCCACTGCTTTATACAGATAACATAGACACATGTACACATGCACTAATGCCAAAGTTATTGAATGTGTTGACAAGAGGCAGTCAGTGAGGTTGAGTTGGTGTTAAAAGTTCCTCAAGATAACTGTTGCGTAACAAGTCTTTGTATTTAGAAGCCAGGAGAGAGAAGTATCTGTATCACCTTCCCATCAGGGGGAGATATTAGTGTGTCATCTTCATTGGTGACGCCTACTATTGAGAAGGGAAATGCGTTCGGATCAAAGTTGTGCTATAAGTGTATAGGCTTACTACGTGTTTAGAATTATCCAAAATGGTTTTAGAATAAACCTCCAAATGTAGACGCATCTGAAATTTGATTAAAAATCTTATTTACATCCTGAGGTTATAGTCGGTTCATCCTTGACTCGCGAACGTATCCTTTAGGTATCTGCGAAGGCGGTAACAAAACACGTCGCAGACAGAATTAACATAATTGCCTCTTCAGTGTAGCCAGTGTGTTTGTTCAACTGTTAAACTTCTACAACAAGTGTATGACGATATGGGATAAATACAAGAGAAATGTAGACATGGATAAAAAAAAATTTATTATTATTATTTTTTATTTTTTATTTTTTTATTATTATTATTATTATTATTATTATTATTATTATTATTATTATTATTATTATTATGCACATTAACACACCAGAATGTAAAATAATGTTGATTCTGTTAGTGACAAAATGACAGTATTTACCTCTCAACTTTGATTGGGATACTGTAATATTTCACACTGTTGCGGGGGCGGTTGGGTAGCCTAGTGGTTAAAGCGTTCGCTCGTCGAAGACCCGGGTTCGATTCCCGACATGGGTACAATGTGTGAAGTCCATTTCTGGTGTCCCCCGCCGGGATATTGCTGGAATATTGCTAAAAGCGGCGTAAAACCGTACACACTCACTCACTCACACGAAACTAACAACACCGTATGGAAATGTATAGTTTTACTTGTGATGATGACGTAAAAATGCCAGTTCATTTGAGTGATATATTTCAGCACCTCCGTTATCGTCGTCTCTTCTGTCATCCATACAGTTATTGTTAAGGACAGTAGTAATATATTTTGTAATACAATAAATGTCAGTAACGTCCTTGTTCAGGGTCATTGCTATTTACATTACCTCCAGTGCTTAACAGGAATTATTATTCCAATTTAACTAGTTTTCTTTTTTACCGTTTCTGTCTGTTTTAGAGAAGAAAAGGTCAACGGAGTAATTCCAAACAGCTATTTTTTAAAACAAATTATTACGAACCTGAATATGTTGCTGTGGTCATTAAGTTCTCTAAAAGGGATACAGGTTCTCAAAGATTTGTTTGTTCGTTTGTTGTTTAACATCGCACTCAGCAGTATTCAAGCAATATGACGGTGGACAGTAAATAAGCGAGTGTGGACCAGACAATCCAGTGATTGACATTGGGATAAAACGACATGCGTCAACCAAGTCAGCGAGTCTGGCCACCCGATCCCGTTAGTCGCCTCTTACGACAGGCATAGTCGCTCTAGAATTCAAATGGCGATATTTGTGGGCACTATAAGTTAAAGAGTCACAGCGAAACGTGTGACCAAGAATGATAATCAACAATAACAGAAGATCATCTTCACTGCCATTTCCAGCATTGGTTCTCTTATGACCTGAGTCAAGTTGTCACTGAACTAAAACCATTAAAGGAGTTATGAATATGCATATCATCTCAGTGATATGTCCCACAACTGCACTTCGTTCAATCGGACGAATGAAGCATGTAACGAACTGTCACGTTTGTTGCCTGTTCCGAATATAATATATACATGCATTTATCATTTCGGCAAATACACAGGATGCTCACGTTTATCTTTTACGACTCGAATTGTCCGTTTGAAAATGAAGACTACATTTCCAAACTTTATTCTATTTATTAGGCATTGAGTAACGTGGTTTCATAATGCAGTATGAATGAGTATGCGAGTGAGCGTATTTCAAGTATGAATAGATGCATGGGAGATACATCTTTAAACGCCTGAAAATACTTAGCTTGGAACTAAGAGCTATTATCCTGGAAGATATGATTTTGGCTCGGACGAAAGTGGCACTTGGAACCTGGTCACCGTCCTTAGGGCAGTCTGTCAAATTGAAGGATGAGTGTCATATGTAGTTCGTAATTTATTTATACCTGTTGATAAATCATTTGATTTGTGTCAGATATTTTTAAAACTTACCGAGAACTAGGTCTACTTCATACCTGGTTTAATGCCAAGGAGGAGTAGACAGAAGCCGGTATGGAGATATTACATCTAAGTCGGTATTAGCATCTGTAAAATGAGACTTGAAATAAAATAAAATAAACAAGCTTGGTTTTGTTTTGGAATAGTTCCTCACGAATAGGATGAAGGAAGCAATGATAGCGAATTAAAATTTAACGTCGCATCGGCATTACGTCAGCCATATACCGACGCAATTATAAGCTGGATTGGACGGATTTGCGTGCAAATAGCATTTTAGTGAATGATTCTAAACGAACCATATTGTACTTCGTAAAAACAAAACCAGTTGATCAATAAGGAAGAGAATATATGGATGTCAACTTCTTTATTATGAGGAACACAACTTACTCCTTCATCAGGTGCATATACTTCGAAACGTTGTGTTCCTCATAATAAAGAAGTTGACATCCATATATTCTCTGCCTTATGTGTATCACTTCTAAATGCTTTTCAAAGACCTAGTTGATAAATGACCATATGCTGTATGGTTTTACAGTTTTACAGTGTCAGTAATACAATGGATCTGGATGATCCCTGTTAGGCTTTGGTACATGAACAACTGAGGCATTTTTGCGATATTTTAATCTTCACCATCATCAGAATTAATATTAATTTTTTCCACTCTTGTTTCTGATCTAAAACTTTCATAATTAGTTTAAAAAGAATGTTTAGTTAAAGTTTAACATCCAACGTGTTTGCAATATATGATTTATTAGTTAATAAATTATTGTCATATTTGAGATAATGAATACTAGATTTGGAAGCTGTACCTTTCATTTTTTGGGATCATTGTCCATATCTTTGACATAGGCGTGCGTGAATTAATTTTTGAAACATAGTTCTTTCCAAGTCTGACGTTCAGTT